ATATTTATTTATTTATTTATATTTATTTATTTACTTATTTATTTATTTCCTTTTCGTTCCCTTTTGATCACGACATATATGAGTGCTGTACAACACATTGTGCGAGTATACTCAACTGAGGTTATGCACAGTAACGGAAGATGATGATGATGATGACAGCTTCCATTATCCTTCATGAATTATGAATTGTTGTACACTTTAAATTTGTTTGTCGCCCTCTATATTTTCCATCAGTTCGTTCATGGAGGAACTGTAAGCTATGAAAGTTATCTGTTTTGTAGATAATGTAGCTGTGAGCACACCTTTATCTATGTTATCAAATTTACTCAATATTTGTTGAAACAATTCGTCTTCTCAAAATATGAAAATACAGTATTTTGACAACCGAAACTCAACATTTTGGCCAGTAGTTATTTACACATAAACCATTGTTAGTTCAGCATACACAACGGGAAAAGTCAGAGATATAGGTAGAGCCTACTGTACACCTGTGGTTTATTGATTTATTTTTTAATGATTCTAATTTTTGTTTTATAATATAATAGTTCATATAAGCCTATGCCTACTTCGCGTAATATGAATTAGGCCCTAAGTGTTATATTATTAGCAAGAGTTGACACTGTTACGTCACTATTTCAAAATATGTTTCACATTCAGTTTTTATGACTATAAAAAGACACAATAAAGTTGCATATTTTTAACAGCACGTAAACTTGTATTAATAGTTGTCGTTCGTTAAGTATCTACATTCGTAATAAGGTCACAACTGTAAATGTGTTTATTTTGGAGTATTCAGTGATACTTTACGCATTTACATCAAACAAATCGTGAAACCGTGGTTAAATACTATACACCTTCTCCAAATGAATCGTAATTAATTACGTGCTTATTTATATTCACTCCACGTTAGCGATGTTTGGCAACGGTTAGGTCTACTTCATCGCTGATTCACACATTTGTAGGGAAAACGGATATCTTTTCAAAAAATGTATACTGTATCGGCCTATATTAAACAACTTTTAAGTCTTAAAAGATTTGGACGCAGTAAATGTTGACAGATTTAGCAAATTACTAGTCGTAGACAAAAATTACTAGTCGTAGACAAGTTGGGCCTAGAACTCAGAATAGTTTATTGAACCAAACAGGGATTCTTAATCTTAGAACATGGTGGCTCTGAGGAGTACATTGACACGGTGGATTGTCAAACATTGGGCTTTCCGATGGAAAACCATAGCGCCTAGAGGAAACACTGGTGGGTCCAGGAATGGGCCAGGGGACCGTTTTGTAATAACGTATGCCTACGCCCAAGTAATTTAATTTACAAAAAAAAAAAAAAAGTACTTGATGGAAATCAAAAGATATATATTATAGCCTTGTATGAACAAATGCGACTGTGTCTGGACCCCTCAAATTCCCCGAGGGGCTTAAACTTTGTTCCGCTAGAACAAACACAGTTTTAGAGCAAGGCAAGTATAATTAACTTATGAATGACAATGATGATGATAATAATGATGTTGATAAGGATGAAGATACGGACGGATAGGGAAAGTATGGTGACGAGGGAGGAGGATATCACAGTGGTGGCGCCAGGACCTGCCCGACGGAGGGGCTAAAGG